CGGCACCGAGCGTTTTCGCGAGCTAAGATAATGCAATTATCCTTTGCGCTCGGAACATTTCTGATGAGAATAGTCGACGGTTTCTGAGACGAGGATGTCCTTCGGAGTTAACTAATGAGAATAGTCGTCGGTTTCTGAGACGAGGACGATGTTCGGAATTAGCTAATGAGACATCACGCATGAATTGAGAATCGAAGATGTTTTGGTAGATCTACCCTCTGTTCTTGAATGAAAATGATACGTTTTCGATGTATTCGTTAATGTGCACCAATGACCTTTTGCCTATCTGACTAATGTCATCTCAACTCGATGTAGCATTATCTCAGACCTAATCAGTCCTAGTATTTCAATATTCCACACATTGAAGCGTCATGGAAAGATCGATGTTACATACGATCAACATTCGACTAAGAGTCTCTCGAACATGAAGGGATCAAATTGCAATTCGTAAGAGATCGAACACCGCAGACAAGTACATTTTCCAAGATGAAGAAGGGGAGCGTATAGCGTGGACAACGCGTGTCCACGAGTCAACGTTTCAGGATGGAACGCCGCGCGTCCGAGCGCCGATTATCGCCGAAGAAAAATGGCTGCCGTAAACATTGAAGTACATTTTCGAACGGCGGACGAGCGTATCTCGACACCTCGCGGAACACTTGAAGAATAACGGGTGTTCCAAGATTCACGTTGCACTTATTGTGCTTAGAGAAAGGGAGTGATGGGGTGTTCGTCCGAGTCGAGGGTTTTATATCTTCGGCTTTGATGTTCGGTCGACTATGTATTATACAATGCCGAGGAAAATATCGAGACGTCTCGAAGGAGGTAATTTGGCATCGAATTCATGCGTAGAGTGTTGTTCAATTATTTTATTTTGCTCGTCTCGTCATTGTTTCTTGAATTTTTGTCTCTTGTTGTTCTCGAGAATTGTTTAGAAGAAATATTTCGTACAGTTCTAGAAGGATAAAATTGTATATATAAAAATATAAAATATCATATATATTTAAAATATAGATAAAAGGATTGTATATGGTTTAGACTAATTACTTCGCTCATTACACTTCATTACGTTACAGCAACAGACGTTTTATTCAATTCCATTAACGAATATCTTCCGTCGACAGAATTACAACCACAAGGCAAAGTTCCATTAATATCTACTAGAATTTCAGTTGCCATTTTTATCGAGTAGCGTCGACGCACTCTCGGTTACCATATTTCCGAATCAGCTACGAAGCACGTCGAAAAAACAATCGTTTAAAAATCTAGAACAACTCGACCGAATGAAAAGCAACGTTCATCCACCGTAGCAGGTCCGATAGTCATCTCGATCGTGACGCCTGTACAGATATCGCGAACGGCCCGCCATGAAAAATGGCGGCGGTCCCTTCCCGCAGAATTTACGGCGGCGCACCGTCATCGTAATTCACCGCGGAATGAAAAACTCGTCGGCGATGGCAGCTCGCGCCAAAAATCACTCCGCCGAGTTTTTTCTGGCAGCGATCGGATCGTTTTTGGGCCGGGGCTCGCGGGTCATCGAGCATCGGAGCGCAGGAGGAGCCTCGAAAGAGATCCCTCGCGTTTCGAGGAATTTACGAAGCGGTCGCCAACTTGGCACGACTTTCTCCGCGATAAAGAATGAAAGATGCGAAAATTGCCCATTCGTCCATGCTCGAAATGCTACCGTTGGAATCTTCCGATGAAATTGTTTTCTATGGTCGAGTCATTTGGTACCGATTGCTGGGATATTTATAGGCGCGATGTATTAATTACGGTGAAGCTCTGGAAACTTTGATATTAGGTGTTTGAATTGACGGGGTTGATTCAGTTGGTGCGAATGAAAGTAATTTGATACCATGGATGCTAACAATCTCTGAATTAACTTCAATTCAAACTCCTTTAGTACTTAATTTACAATACTTATGTAAATCAAAGTCATGAACACCAAAGGAGCACAAGTCAAGCAATCGACATTTAGAGAAAATCTTTCCTTTCGTCTTCGTTCGTTGTCTATTCCGTTGATTCTTGCTAAGCATTGGCTACACATACATCTTCGTCACATGGAAATTTCAAATATTATTAGACCGGTGAGAGTAAATTGAAAAATAGAATTAAGAGGTTGATAACTTCTGTTTCGGAATTAACGACTCGAATTGATCACGGATCTCTGTTCCTCGGATTCCCGTCAGCTGTTCTCAGTCGAGATAATAAGCGAAGACCGTGCTCGGTGAGAAAACCCAAACGGGGAAAAATTCCAGTTGCTGTTTGATTAGTCCCATTCAAGCCGACGCTGGAGTATCATCTTCCGCGGGCCGAGATGTTTCTGTCCGCGCTACTGTGCCTGTCCGACTGGCTTGCGCGTATTCTGCTCGCTGCGAGCCCCTAACGAGCAACGCCCTTATTCGTAACTAGCCCAGCAGCCTCGAACACGTACCCCCTTCATATTTCTCGCAAACTATTCCGGTGGCTGTTGCCATTCTCCCTCTTTCACTCTCTTCAACTCTCTCTCCTTCCCTCTGTCGCATCGCTTCCATGAAATTTCCAATTAACGAGTTCTGGAGGGAGAGCACTGGTTGCCATCGAGGACACAGTTGTTCTTTTTTCCGCATAATCGTTACGCGAGTAGGTCGTTTCGAGCTGTGGATAATTTCTCAGGCTTGAGTGGGAAGGGGTGGTTTTATTCTGTCTTCTGTTTGGCGTTTGGGGCCTTAGGACTTTGGGATGTTGAGATATTAGAGAATTAGGGCGTTAAGACATTAGGCATTAGGAAACTAAATGATTGGGGCATTAGGGCGATAGGAAATTAGGGCGTTAGGGCGTTAGGGCGTTAGAAGATTAGGGTGTTAAGACATTAGGGCGATAGGACATTAGGCATTAGGAAATCAAACGATTAGGACAGTAGGGCAATAGGACAGTAGGGCGTTAGAAGATTAGGGTGTTAAGACATTAGGGCGTTAGGACATTAGGCATTAGGAAATTAAATCATTAGGACATTAGGGTGTTGGGGCATTAAGGCATTAAGAACTTAGGGTATTAGAGCATTAAAACATTAGGACATTAGGGTATCAGGATATTAGGACATTAAGCCATTAAGAAATTAGAACATTAAGACATTAGAGTATTACAGCATTAAGACATTAAGGCCTTAGAGTATTAGAGCATTAAGACATTAGGACATTAGGGTATTAGGGCATTAAAACATTAGGACATCAGGGTATCAGGATATTAGGGCATTAAGCCATTAAGAAATTAAGACATTAAGACATTAGGGTATCAGGACATGAAAACATCAGAACATCAGGACATTAGCCCAAAACCCTAAAATCTCCAAAAATCAAATTGAATTTACCAAAGCATACTACTT